GCTATGGACTTATAATCTGTTATTTTCCAGAGGACCTCGTTTTTTCGGGATTAGTCGGTGTTTCGTTCATTTTGATTTTGATAGTCTTTGAGTTGAAAACTTTTTATATATCTAACACAATGTCGCGATAATGATTATACCAATATATTGATAAATTGTCTAGATTTTAGAGCTTTGGTAACATGGATGCCACAGACTGCTTCTCTGATCTCTTTGACACCAGAGAATGCAATAAGTTTGGCTTTGTATTTGCTGAGATCATCGGCTCCAGCACCTCGTTGACAACACAAAAATCTCTCCCCTTGATCTGATGTGAAAATGTCTTGAAAATGATTTGTGGTTGTTTTTTGCAATATATGGTGTTCTTCATGGAGTGCAGTGCCATGCGCATCTACTAAACATAAATGAAGCTAAAAGTATGAGCCCTACTAAAATTTAACCGAACGGATTACAAACCAACAACAAAACCGGAAAAAAAAGACTAATTATTTTTCTTTGCTTTATACATTATTCGTATAAAAACATATTCTACTAAATAAATAAATAAAAGAGGTGGAGATTTGTCTCACGTGTATTATTTTCACAAATATTTTTTTTGTCTTGACGCCAGAACGATTTTTATTAATCGAATTTTAACAGGCAAACGAGATTTTTTTAGTGAGTAAAAGATCAACTAGCAAACAAGAAGAGGAAGGATTAAACCACATTTTAAATGGAAGAAAAGTGTAAAAGTAGACAAGAAACACTAACTAAATTTGACTATCGTAACTCGCATGATTTTGTCCATTCAAAAGTCACATCAAAAATATGTGTAATATACAAAACCCTTTTTCAGATTTTCCCATGAATTGTTTACCACTTTAACAAAACTATGGGTACTACTTCTGGTATTATACAAAATCAATGGATAATTTATTCGTAAGTGTTTATTAGAACATAATTTTCAAGTGATTATCTTAAGGAACGTTATATTTTGCAAATTTATAAAAAAAAATAAAGCATGCCTTTTGTATTCCGTTTTATTTACAGTTTAATCATCTTTTGTTAGCGATCTAGTACATCCAAAATTTCTGATCCCTCAATACCATATAAGCATTTGTTAAGTTAATATACCAAATCATGTAAATGTATTTTGATCGAAACGTGTATTCTATATTTATTATATACGAAAATGTTATTTGTATCTAGATAATTACAGTAGAAGGTTAGAAGCAGTAATAAGAAAATTATTAACAATATAAAAAGATGATTAAACAGAATTAAATATTACGGTTACAGTTAAATTGCTTCATTCACAAGTTTGTATTAGAATTCTCTGAATCTCTGTGCCAACCACTCCACTATACGTTTGTGTGTAGAGCTGATCAATTACAAACAGCAAAAGGATAAAAATATATTTAAATAATAAAATACAAATTACAAAAGAGCATAATTGGAATAAATAAATGCTATTTATATTGGATAGTTTCATTCTTCATTCTACTATCTGTGCATTTTCTTTAATTTTTCAATGTAAAGTTGCAAAAAAAGCAAGTGATATTCGTGTTTTTTTTTTATTGGTAACCAATATGCATGTATCCTTAACGCTTAATAAAAGCATTTTTTTCTGTAAAAAAACTTACATCAATTTGTTGTTTATTCTGTTTATATAGGTAATAAAATATTCAGATTTTTTTTTCATATATGCATATTTAAAAAAGTGTAAACTAGCTAAAATTAATCTATGTGACCTAAACATGTTTATTAGATTTAGGTTAAATAGTTAGAATATTAATTATAGTTGTTTTGGTTATACAACCCAATATATATTAGGTCTGAGCACAGAGCGGATATTCTGAAAAATTTAGGTATCCGTGATCCGCTTTGTTCAGACCGGATACTTGATTTTCTGATCCGATCTGTTATTTTTTGGATATCCGATTTTTTTTTAAATATCCGCGAATATTCGATTCGATCCTTGAAAAATCGAATATCCGATTTTTAAGATATCCGTAAATATTCGATCCGAATTGTTAAT